CTGTTTGAAAACGGTTTAGGGGAGCCTCCCCACTTATGGGACTGTCCCTCCAATCACTCACAGCTGCCCTCTTTAATTTCTTATCTTCTGAGCAAAGTGTGTTGCCAATAAAGCCCAGACGTGGGCCTTGGTTCTCCTTGGTGCTCAGACCCCACTGCAGAGCTGGCGCCCTCCTCCCTGGTTCCCGAGAGTGCCATCCCCTTCTTAGAGGATGTCGGTGGTTGATAGGAGCTACCAAGACAGGTAAGGAGGGGTGGAGAGAGAGAAGAATGTGCCATCAGATCAGCGTGTGTTCAGTCATTCAGTCATGTCTGACTCTTTGCAATCCCATAGACCGTAGCCCACCAGGGTTGTCCATGGGATTTCCCAGGCAAGAATACACTTCCTCCTCCGGGGATCTCCCTGACCCAGGTATTGAACTTGCATCTCCTGCACTGCAGGCAGATTCTTTACCCACTGAGCCATCAGGCAAGCCCAGGAGGGGTGGGCAGTGTGGCTAATTAGAGAGCGCCCTCGAGGTCTCAACGAAAGCAGACCTGCTCTTCAGCTCCAGCCAGCTGCTTGCTTCCTCTGAGAAATTAAAGCAATGCAATGCAAACTTGCTATTTCCCGAAAAGCCAGAAATTCTGTTTTCTATTTTTTTTTTAATGAGAAATCTGAACTTCACATATTGGCAACTTACTCAAAAAAATTCTCAAACACTATGTAAAGGCATCAGACACTCCTGATTGTAGTCCAGTAGTTCTTATTTTTGGGTAGAAGAGCTTATCTTCTCTTTGATAGCTTCAAGCAATTGCCAGAGGGAAAATTGCTCTCAAAATTATGCCAAATCTTGAATACAGTTGAGAAGGGTCTAGGAAATTCAGAATAAGAACAAACACTGATAGACTGTAATCTTTCAATGAATAGGGTGGTGGTGGGACTGACATTGATCGCTCTTGGTTTGTTTTTTTAAATAAATGTTATTGAGGTATATTTTTGTGTGCAGTTTGAAGAGTCTTGATATATAAATACAACCAAGTAAATAAACATCAAGTTATAGTTACAGGAGACTTCACTGATGGTCCAGTAGCTGAGGCTCCATGCTCCCAATGCAAAAGTCCCTGGTTCAATTCCTGGTCAGGGAACTAGATCCCACATGCAGCCAGGTAAATAAATAAAATATTTTTTGAAAGATATATCTACAAAAACTTGTAACTTGTATAGTTTCTCCTCTACTTTTCCAGCCCAGGCAACTACTGATGGCTTTTTGTCACTTCAGTACAATTTGTTTTTCCTAGAGTTTTCTATAATTGGAATCTTATTGTATTCTTTTGTGTCTGGCTTCTTTCATGCCACATAGTGGTTTTGAAATTCATTCGAGTATGTATGTCAGTAGCTCCTTCTATTGTTTATTGGCAGGGTGTATTCCATTCTATGAATTGTCACATTTTCTCCATCCACCAGATGATGATTTTTTAGCCACAAATTCTGGTCATAATAAACCCTTTCACAAATAGGTTGCTGAATGTGCAGCCATAGCTTTTATAGAAAGCTGAAGAGGATACATACAGTTAGAACACTGACTTTTTTTCAGTTTGATTTTGAGCTTATGATATTCAGTATCAACATTAAATAATGACATTTGCAGCATAGATTCAGTTCCAAAATTTAAGAAACAATACCTCATAAAAAAGCCATTAGCTCAGCTTTATGAGGGATTTTTTTCATTTGATACTTGAACAGAGTGTATTTTTAAAGTTCAGATTGGCTGTCTAGTACCCTAAGCCCTAAATGATTCATAACTTTCTTTAGGCCTTATAGAATTTGCCGTCTATATGGCAGACTTTTTGAAAACTGAAACCACTTACTATTTAAATAATTTTTAGTTGTTAAGCTGATACTTTTAAAATTCTTTTTTTTCCCCTTTTTCTCTCATTCTTTGCAAAAAATAAACTTCCTAGTATTGAATGTATATCAGGTGACTTGAACAAGCAGGGTTAGTTTTCTTCTTATTTTTTTAATATTAATTTTATTATTTGGCTGCCCAGGGGGTCTTAGTTGCAGCAGGCAGGGTTTTATTTGCAGTATGTGAACTCTTAGTGGCAGCGTGTGAGCTCTAGCTCCCCGGTCCTCTGCATTGAGAGCTTGGAGTCTCAGCCACTGGACCACCAGGAAAGCCCCAGGGAAAGCTTTTCCTCTTTCTTAAGTTAATAGACTTTTTCTTTGTAAGAGTTTTGGGTTCCGAGTGAAATAAAGAAATACCACATCCCCCCTTCCCACAACACTGCCATCAACACTCCCCACTGGAGTGGTCCATGTGTCACAACTGATGACGCTACATGGACACATTTTTATAACTTGAATCCACAGTTTATATGAGGGATACATACTATACCCCTGTACACTCTGCAGGTTTGGACAAATGTATAAACACGTGTCCACAGCTACACTGTTATCCGGAGCTGCTGCACTGCCCTAAAAATCCTCTGTGGTCCACCTATTCCCCGGACAACCATTGATGTTCTTAATTGTTCCCTAGTTTTAATTCTCCAAAATCTCACATAGTTGGAATCAAAATGTGTAGACTTTTCTGCTTGGTTTCTTTCACTTAGTAATATACCTTAAAGGTTCTTTTCATGACTTGATAGCTCACTTCATTTTACTACTGAATAATACAGATATGGATATCCACCATATGGATGGACCGCAACTTTTTATCCATTCACCTACCAAAGGATATCTTAGTTTCTTCCAAGCTGTGACGATTATGAATGAAGCTTGAGTAACATCTGTGTGCAGAGTTTTGTGTGGACATAAGTTTTCAACTCATTTGGGTAAATGCCATAAAGTATAATTACTGGACTATATGGAAAGAGTATGTTTTGTAAGAAACTGCCAAATTGTCTTTTATAGTGACTGTACCTTTTTTGCATTCCCACCAGCAATGAATGAGTGTTCCTGCTCCTACACATTCTTGCCAGCAGTTGGTGTTGTCTGTGTTTTGGAATTTAGCCGTTCTAGTAGGTGTATAGTAGTTTTAATTTTTTTAATTTGCAATTCCCTGATGATATACGATGTGGAGCATCTTTTCACATTATTGTAGCTATGTAAATTCTTTGTTGAGGCAACCATCAGGTTTTTAAATCATAAATAAAGTAATATCTGTTGCATGGCTACTACGTGCCCTCTGTGATGAACTTGTAAAGTTCCCCTCCTCACTAGAGCATTACCTCCATTTCACAGATGGAGAAAGTGAGGTTCCCAGAGGCAGGGGTCCCACGCTGGCAAACGACAGTGTTCCAGCAGGAAGCCAACTTCAGGCTCGCTTGACCACGCCCTACCACACTGGATGCACAACTGAGAAGCCTGTCCACCAAAAGAAAGCCCTAAAGTTTGAAACTTTCTCAAAATCACTGTTCCATGTAAACTAGAATTGACCAACTTTCCAAAGCAGCGGTACAGAAAGAAATAGCTTTGAAAGTTAATAAAGACAGATGAATACATTGTAAACAGTAGGTTGAGTAGCAAAAAACAATCACCCTTTGTCCCATCACATAAAGTAAATGAGTATTTTGATTTTTAGTCTACTCTTCTAGACCTGTTCTAGAGAGGAAACAAAAATTTAAATGACATAGATTTCTCTCTCATGTTGAACACAGCCTTTCTCTACCTGAGGCTTTTTCCATTAAAATTGCTTGGAGAGAGGCAGTACTTTCTCTTTGGCGGGAGGAGAGGGGGATGACAGAGGATGAGATGGTTGAATGGCATCACCGACTCAAAGGATGGGAGTTTGAGTAAACTCCTGGAGTTGGTGATGGACAGGAAGGCCTGGCATGCTGCAGTCCATGGGGTTGCAAAGAGTCGGACACGACTAAGCAACTGAACTGAGCCGAACAGGATCTCTCTCAGGTCCCTTCCTTGACCAGGGCTCGAACATCCTGTGCCTCTTGCAGAGGAAGAGCAGAGTCCTGACCACAGGATTGCCAGGGAACTCCTGAAGCAGTCATCTTTAAAATCTAGGTCTTCTCCAGGATGTAGCATAAAATTACTTTTTAAGCTATTCACAACTTGATTGGAAAGAGATTCTATTATAAGATGAACCTAAGACACTTGATGGGTTTCAAAGGGAAGAAGACAAAGGAAGGAAAAATCTTGAGGCTTAAGGAGAGATTTCATGTGTGAGACCCATGCAGCAGTTCTGATTGAATCAGTAGTGTATTTATTTAATAACCCATTATACCCTGCAGTGTGTGTGTGTGTGTGTGTGTGTGTGTGTGTGCGCTCACACCAGTATCTTTAGAAACTACGTAGAAGAGTGATCTACATCTCCTGGCACATTTAACATCCTTGTTACAAACACAACAAGTGTTTCATAAAGCTTGGAATTGATTGCCTTTTGCTAACTTATAAAATATCTGGATGCTTAAGCTTCTTAAATAGCAAACAAGATCATCCTCCCACCTGTTTAGCAGGTAGGTAAACCAAGGAATAACTTGTACAAGTCTCCCTGAAATAGTCAGAAAACTGAAAACTAGAATTTGCGAATGAACTGTAACCCTTATTGTCAAGACAAAGGGACTATATGCACATGTGAATTTCACAACACAAAGCATCAGAGCATAGATTGCTATTATGGCCACTCTTCCCATCTCTATGATTCACAGTAAGATGACACAATTATTCTGCTTGGTCTCATCATTCCAAAGGTAAGACCACCGATCAGCAACTTATTTCATGTATGAATACTTGTCAATCTGTGCCCCAAACACTCTAAGACTCACTCTTGCACCAATTCAACAGTCCAGAGGGAATGCTTGTACTAATGCGAGCTTTGACTGGCCACCCATTCCCCTGGTCATCTTTGTAAGGGGTCTTCCACAAAGGTAATTTCACTTTTAAACAATGGACATCATGTGGAGGATTTTTTAGGCCTTCAATGACCCATTATTTCCGTACTTTGCTGGATAATGTTTTGTTATTTACAAAGCTTCATCTTTGTTCCATTTTCTTTTCATTTCAAGAGTAGAGAAAATTGCACATAAAGATGAGATCTGGGGTTAGAAATCCATTTATTCCTTTCCATAAAATTACAGGCTTCTCTTTTAAAAAATGACATCTGTGTCTAGCAAAACATGGAGCAGGGTTTGTGCTGTCTCTCTGCTCCGGAAGCCCAGACTCTTCCAGGTGGAAGCGAATGATCAGTTGCCTTGAGTCCTTGGTCTTGAGCAGTGCCAGCCTTCACCTGTCCTGCACTTGCTTGTACCTGGGCCCGGGGTGGCACCGCGCAGGGGGCGGTCATGGTGACATTGTGGCAGCCTGGCCCTGGAGGAAGTAAAGTGAAAGTTGCTTAGTCATGTCCGCCTCTTCGCGACCCCATAGACTATACAGTCCATGGAAATCTCCAGGCCAGAATACTGGAGTGGGTAGCCATTCACCGCTCTGGGGGAACCTCACCAATATTTCATGGGATGGCACCCACCAGGGTGGATGCATCAGCCTTCGGTGATGTCTGAGCAGAAGTAGTTGTGACCGTAAATTGAAAAAATGATTTCCTCTGTGGAGCTGAGACCACAATCTTTTCTGCATTCACCCATTCACCTTAATGGGATAAAAAGGGCCCACATGCCTCACTTTCTTCTGGAGGTGGAGAGGGTGTTTGGAATGCGTGATGTACTCAAGGAGAGCCTGGCCAGCCCCTCCCCAACTTGCCCATCACAGGCTCTGCTCCCAGCAGCCGCCTCCAGAGGGATCATTTAAAAATATAATTCAAATTGCATCACCCTTCCTGGAAACCCTTCAAAGGCCTCTCTTCACACAGAAAATCAAACCTCAAATCCTTCCTCTGTACTTTGAGTTCCTAGTGATTTGTTCGACAGCCCTTTTTGACCATTTTTCACTCAATGTTCTCCAGCCAGGTATTCTTCCAAAGCACCCCAAGCTCTCCCATTTCAGGGTGTCACAGGCTAAACTTCCTCAGACGTCCTGCACCTTTACTTCCCTCGGGCCAAAAGCCACCTCCTTCCACAGTCCTTCCCTCACCACCCTTTTTACATCAACAGCAGCATCACAAACCTTACCTCCTCTCCCTGGATATCTTTTCTCACTAGCAATCATCACCGTTTATAATATGCTCTTAATTATCAAAATCTCCCACTTGAATTTGAAGTCCCCAAGAGCCAGTGCCACAAACCCGCCGCCTAGCACAAAGTCTGACAGTGGAGGGCACCCAACAAACACTTGTTGAATGAATGAAGTCCGCACAGTCTGTCTGTCTCCTGCTGAGAGTCTCAAGGTTCAGTGGCGGGAGGAAGCTGGTGAGAGTCATCACACCCACATGCGAGGTGCTGGGTGTCTTGCCGAGCCGTGTCTGATGCTCACACGTTCCTGGTCAGCGGAGACAGGAGACACTGCGGGCTGAGTCCTTCAGCAGTTTTGAATTTCAATTCAACTGAGTCACTGACGCGACCTCACCCCATGCCTCGGCCAGCACCTGGGCAAATTCAGGGTTGGAAGACAGAAGCAGATTCTTCAAAGACTGAATTTAAAATCCCCTGGGCCCCCTGTCCACTTCTGCCTCTGGACGAGCTCCTGCTTCTAGAATCTCTGGGCATCCTAAGAAGGCGAGAGGTGACCATGTCCATGGATCGACCCTATTCCTCTTGCCATCACGGCTGGTAGCCTCAGGCCCCTAGACCCAGTGCCTGACCACGAGACCGCTGTGGCCTCTGAATAAGGGCCAGTCTGGTTGTGCTGAGTCTTCTATTGGCCAGGCTGCCCTAGCTTTTTTCCTCATCGAGTGGAAGAGTCAGTCTTTGCTGTTAGTGATGGAATCCCCATGACCTCATAGACCTAGGTCTTTAGAATCAAGAAGGAGATTCTCTTTCTCTTGGAAAAGGTTCTCTGGAGAAGAGAGAAGGAGCAAGTGACCACCGCCTGTGCTTGCTGACCTTGTCCCCTCCCACGTCCCCCCTAGGACCTGACTGCAGTGTTTGACCTCTCGCTTATCTGCCTTTGGACTCGCAACTCTCTCAAGCATGACTGGCTCCATCACCTGGTTCTTCCGGTTCCACTGGCTTCAAATAATAATCACATCCGCTACTTATTGATCATATAGTGTGAGCCTACGGTGAGCCCTTGTGAGCTGATCAATTTCCATTCATTAATCATGTCTTATTGCAACAACCCCTCAGGATTGGAAACTCCAACCTTAAGATGATGAATCTGAGATTTACTGAGATACAGAGGTTTTTTGGTTCATGGTCTTGAAGTAGGTGTGTGGCTGAGCTGTCTCATGGTTCCAAAATTAATCAAGAAACAGAATATTCAAAGTAAACATGAAAACATTTTTTTTTCTCTAACCCCTAGGAATATAGTTTCTATAGACAAAGATGTATGCACAAGAATGATCACCTTGGCACTACTTATAATTGTGAAAAATTGGCGATAACCTACATAGCAGCACAAACAAATGATGAGAACTCCGTGTAATGAAATATTAGGCGGTTGTGAGGAATGGTAATGCAGGGCTGTGCTGATTTTCATGTAAATTTGCCTAATGGATATCGTTGAATAAAAACACATTACAGAACCAGTCTCCCATCTCATTCTCTAGAAGTTAATGCCAAAGTGTTTCTTCTACAGCTTTGCAGATATTTTCTGGGCATTGAAAGGTATTTAGATGCAGAGAGCAAGAAAGAGAATGAATCTGTTTTATGAAATAGAAGAAAAACATGCTGTTCTGCAACTTGCTTTTTTCACTTAAAAATCTTATTGTAGTTCAGTTGCTCAGTCATGTCCAACTCTTTGTGACCCCATGGACTGCAGCATGCCAGCCTTGGGCATCAGTCAATTTCAGTTGATTGAGATCTAGCTTCTTTGTTGAAATGGTCATAATGCATTTTATTTATTTATTCAGCATTTATTGAGAGCCTATCACAGCACTAGAAAGATTTTCTCAGATAGTAGGACATACTGTTCTTTATTTTACTATTCCTCCATGGATGGATATTTTTCTCTTACTTTTCCTATTACAAAGCACACTGCAACAAATTTGCATTTTTGTATACTATGTATTGTTCTGTTGTGTGTGTCTATGCTACATTTCTAGAAATGACATCATTTGGTCAGAGAGTAGGCACAGCCTCAATTCTGAGAGATTATTTTTCCTGAGCATCTTAACTGTGAGCGTCTAATCTGCAAAGGGATGTGGGCTTTTTCCAGTATAGAGGAAGGATTCCTCTGATGGGGATTTTGGAACAGAGAAGTTGTTTGTGAAATAGACCTCAGCAAAGAAGAAAAGGAAGAAAACCACAGTGGATGGAGCACTTACTCTGTACTTGACATGTCCCACAGATAACAAGCATTTTCCTCACAACAACTGGGTTCCCCAAGAAGCAACACAATAGGTGCCAAAAAGTGTTTAAGTGAATACACGTAGGGTAGATGTCATGGCCTCCATTCTGCGGGTGAAGCCAAGGAGATTAAAACCTTGTTCAATCCCACCCAGTCTGTCAGGGGTCTGCCCAGAGGTCACCGTGTCCCCCCCACCCAGGACGGGTCAGAGGTCAGGAGCCTGATGCCCGGGGATGAGCAAGGGCTGACTTGCAGAGCTGCCCTCCTGTGATGAAAGTCTTACGGCAAAAGCAAGAAAAGCAGGGGCAGAGCAGTAATGTCCTGGCTATGGAGCGGCAGTCCCCACCCCTCTTCTTTAAGAAAAAAGAAGCCCCCTTTCGTAAAGAGCCTGCCCTCTCTGTATCACAGGTATCAGTCGTCCTTCTCTGTCTGCTGTGCAGCAGCCGTGCCCCGACCCTCTGGCTGGGCAGCATCAATCATCTTGGCAGGTTGCAAAAGCTCCCATCTCCTGCCTGGCTTCTCACTTGCCCACCTTTGCCAGGAGAGGGAAAGGCTCCTGACAAACATTTAGAGCATGAAGAGTAATAGGGCTGCGGCTGCAAAAACCACCAGAGAGCAGGCGCCAGCTACAGTGATTTGTAAGCACTGAATATGAGCGCCTCTGCCCCTTTCTTCAGTGACAGCATCCCACTGGGAGCTGGACTGTGACCACGGTGGGCGTGTTTCCTGCAGGAAAATCGGCAAATCAAGAGAGCAGGCTTTCCCTGCCCCCCTGAAAGAGTTATTAAACATTTACTGCTATACAACCCTAGAGGAGACTTAGCTTCGACTACTCCATTCTGCCTGAGACCAGAAGAGGGTTGACATATGATATCACTTGTATGTGAAATCTAAAATATTACACAAACGAACCCATCTATGAAACAGAATGGGTCTTCCCTGGTGGCTTAGTCAGTGAAGAGTCTGCCTGCAATGCAAGAGACCCAGGTTCAATCCCTGGGTCGGGAAGATCCCCTGGAGAAGGATATGGATACCCACTCCAGTATTCTTGCCTGGAGAATCCCATGGACAGAGGAGTCTGGTGGGCTACAGTCCATGGGGTCACAAGAGTTAGACATGACTGAGCATTGAACACATGAAACAGAACCAGGCTCATGGACACAGAGGACAGATTGGTCTTTGCCAGGAGGGAGGGAGTTGGGGGAGGGATGGAGTGGGGGCTTGGGGTTAGAAGATATAAGCTTTTTTGTATAGAATGGATAAACAACAAGGTCCTACCGTATAGCACAGAGAACTATACTCAACATCCTTTGATAAACCAGCAGTATAAATGCTATTAAAATATATATATTTTTTGATCTGTGGTTGAATGAATCCACAGATTTGGAACCAGTGTATTTCCATTCTAGAAAATTCCATAAAGCAAAGCTTGAATTTGCTGTAACTCAGCAACTATTCATATAGCATTTACATTGTATTTACATAGCATTTACATTGTATTAGGTATTATAAGTAATCTAGAGATGATTTAAAGTATACAGAGGATGTGCATAGATTATAAATACTGTGCCATTAAAAACTGTTTCATTTACTGTATTATTTTTCTCTTTCTTTCAATTATTTTTTTTTAGTTTTAAATATTTATATTTTCTTGGCTAAGCTGCCATAGCTTGTGGGACCTTAGTTCCCTGTCCAGCTATCAAACATGAGCCCCCCCCACACTGGAAGTGTAGCATCTTGACCACTAGACTACCAGGGAAGTTCCAGTTCCATGCCATTTTATGTAAGGGGCTGGAGCATTCATGAATTTTGGTTATCTGAAGAGATCCTGGAACTAGTCCCCCATAGATTCCAGGAGATGACTGTATGGCCTTTCACCCTGTTCTCCTGAAGTAAGAACTTCTTGCCCTGGAGGCTCCAAAGCTACAAGTCCTTGACAATGAGAGGGATGGGGCTGTATCACTGATCTGGTCATTGCCTCTCCCCATCCCTGAAAGAACTTAAACCCTCATACCAGCCTTTCTGGGTCCCTTCCTACCCCCTTCCCATTTCTCCAAGTACAACTTCTCCATCCTTCCCCACAAGTGTCCTTCTGTCTAATGTCAACAGTCCAGGCCCTGGCACTCAGGGGAAGTCACACCCTCCTCCACCCCATTTCTGCTGCTGGATGGCCAGAGCTGACGCCCGGTCTCGGGAATGGGACAAAAGAGCTGGTGAGGATCTCACTTGAGGCCACTTTGGGCCTCACTTGATTTTTTTTTCTTAGTCTTTTTTGAAAAATTATATCTTGCACCATGAGGATTAGTTTCTTGCCAAAATATCTCATAAAACTTATATAAGAGATCCCTACTGTTTGCAAACATTGACTTTAGAATGATAAAAGAGTATTTGCCCATCTCCAACCTCACATTTTGATAGAAATTTACATAACCACAAAGGATACTGCTCCCCACCCCTCGTCTCTAATTACAGGGCCTGTTTCCTGGCTGGGGAGGAGAAGGGCGCATGGGTATCAAGAAAGAATGAATAAATGAATGAAAATCTCCTGTCCTTGAGAAGTCTATAGTCCAGTAAGTTCAGAGAGATTATAGTTCAGAGAGATTCACTGAATTACAATTCCATGCAGTGGACATTATGACTAAATCCTGCCCTAGATGTGGGAGGTTTGTGTAGGAAGTAATCTCCTTCTGGAACAAGGGTCAGGAGGTGTCCACAAGGAAGAAGGTGGTCAAGCTGGGGCCTCGAAGATGAGCAGGGATTTTCACGTTGGCAAGACAGTGATGGATATTTGCAAGAGAGAAGGCAGCCTGTCTCAGTGAGTCACTGACTTACAATTTGAATCAAGTCTTTCAGGTGCTCAGTTTTAAAGAGTTGTGTATCTACCTTCTAGACTTTTCTCTGCCTTCATATAATCATATTAACTATAATCAATATATTGAGATGCACATCTTTTCTTTTACATATTTGCAGCTACTTTCTAGCAAGGGAAATAGGTAAATTTCAGCAGAGTAAGTGAACCATAATTGCATTTTACCAGATTTTTTCCCTTGCCACAAAAAATTCTGCAAAGATATCGCTGTACATTCTTACATGCTGGTAATTTTATTTTCATAGTAGATATTTCCCAAAGTAGATTATTGGGTCAAAAGTTAGATGGATTTTTAATTTTAATAGAACAGATTACCTTCAGAAATGGCCCTGGTAATTTATAATCCCATCAGCAATATATGAAAAGTCCTTTTTCTCTAATCCTTTGGCAGTCATGAATTTTATAAATCCTATTAATTTCTGTCAGTTGGACAGTCAGAAGTCCCAAACTCATAGTTAATTATGTTCCTGTCTCCATCAGTCTGCATGAGGTTGAGGATGGAGCTGGCTTTTGCTGTTGAGCTGGCGGCTGGTGGGTCTCCTGCTACAATGGAGGAGGAGACACGCCTGTAGGTCAGGAGCTTCACGCCCCACGTGTGTGCGGCTCCTC